GAGTGTGAATTCCAAACAATCTAATAGTTAGCCCCTGAGCATTAATACCTAATGAAATTGGATTCCTTGTTTCCTCTAATGAGCTCATTGCTTTGCTAAATATGGTCATTGCAGGTAAATGATCAATAGCCTTGAAAACGACACCACTACTGGATTATTTTGGCAAGGTAGAAATGTTCTTTTAGTGTCAAATCAAAGTATTCATATAGGCATTTCTAAATAACTTCCTACATGACCTTAATGTCGTAGGTCTGTTATTTTGTGTGTGTGTGTGTCTTTCTCCTTCCCATATGAGGTCGACAGCAGGAAAATGTGGACACTGATTATAGAATAGTGGCCTCAAATCCACTTCACCTAGTTTGAGTTGGAATAAACTGGATTTCCTGTTTCTGCTAAGCGAGGGATTGAAAGTCTATGAGAAGATTTGTTTTCTGTTATGGTATAATAGTTCAGTACAAATCATCTCGACTGAATTAACTAGACCCTACAACAATTTACCACAAACTGGGTGACTTCACACAACTGAAATGTATTTGCTGATTAATATTCGGTTCTTGTAGCGGTGTCTCTCTCCTCTATAGAGTCGATCTTGATAAGCCCAGATAATCTAAAGTTCTTGAGAACTTTAAGGAGCCCTGGTGACACTGGGGCTATGTATTTGACAGCTAACCTGAGATGGGCAGTTAGAAACCAGCAGCTGTTCTGAGGGAGAAATCTGGGCCTTTCTACTCCCGATAGCAGGGAGTTTGGGGTTTAGATCATAAACCCTATTATCCCGCAGGATACATCTAGTGCTTAGCAACATTTTCTGTCGCTGGGGTTGAGTAAGAAGCTGCTGCCCTGACTTTAGTGACTAGAATAGACTCAACAACAGTGAATTTGGTTTTTGGGTTTGTCAGAGGGAGGCAAGGTTGACAGGGTGGGGGCTGTAGAACTGTGTAAATAGGAAGACGTGGGCCTCACCCAACAAACTGCAGCACCAGAGACCCCTGAGGCAGATGATTGTGTCAAAATTCATATCACCTTAATTTTTTTCATTTCATTCAAAATACCTTTCATTACTGAAAACGTAGTTTCAACACAAGTATTCAACCAGAAAATAATTCAGTCTTGAAAGAGTTAATTTAAGCACCAGGGATTAGGATAACTTTTGGGAAACTAGATGGAACCCACTATATACAATTTTTTCTACATTAGTTCTGATCACTGAAGTCTACATACAGCCATATTATGATTACTAGGATGTTTAAGCACTTTAATAAAATGATCATTTATTGTGGAAATCATTTATATAGTATATATATTTGTAAATTTTGATTCTGAAAAACAAGCCTTCATTATCTCCTCTATATATGTAAGGAAATTGGGGCTCTAAAAAGATAAGATCTTTCCCAGTGATCCAACACAGCTAATAAATTTGTATTAATCTACATTTAAAGGTTGTGATTTTCCTACATGAGCTTAAGCTTTGTGCATGTATACATTTAGATATTCATATATTTATTTATAAATTGATGTGCTAATGTACCGAGACTTGTTTTCCACATTCGCTATTTGGTCACTGCAGTTCTCTGGGTCTGAGAATTTGCCATTAATCCCAGAACGTAACTGCCAGATGAAGCCTTTGAAAGAACAAGACCCAGTGAAGCTTGGCTGGGGAATAGCTTTGGGTTCTACTTCAAGCTAAGGCTTACCTTTCCTAAAGTGACCTTTTCATGTCCAATCCTACAATATATTAACCTGAAATAGAGTTAGCCTTTTTAAAATGGCTTTTACATATTCTGTGATGTTTATGATCAGACAGATGTAAACTCTTTTCCAGCGTGTATTACATAGTTTCTTGGAGATAGCATTTAACCAGCTCTTGTTTCTTCATTTGTAAAGTGAAGCAAAAGAATAGTGATCATCTATTGAGTCTTTGTACAAAAATGAGAAAGTATTGCTGAAAAAGTGTCTGATTGATTGTATACACTCAATTTTTATGATCAATTATTACTAATTATACCATATATACTCATGTATAACTCGAGTTTTTCAGCAAATTTTTAAAGCAGTTTTTGTGGTAAAATTAGATGCCTCCACTGATAATCGGGTTGGCTTCTACTCAAGTATATACAGCAAGGATTTTACTTTAAAAAGGTACCACATTAAAAAATTGTAATGGAGTTAGCAGTATGAGAGTGTCATTTAACACACAAAACAGATTCAAAGTGAAACACGGGGCACAGAATTTCATGTCCCGAGCTTTCTCAGAGGCCTCTTCCTTTACCTTTCTCACTCCAGGTACCTCTCCCTCCCCTCTTCTGCCCCTTCCCCTCTCTCTTCCTATCTACTTATATAGACAGATGGAGAGATGAGGCTTTCTGCTCCCATAATGGATTACAGGCTTTTAAACTCACAGGTGCAGTTCTATCCTGTCCTATAGGGTTGCAATGAGTCAGAACGACTTCATGGGAAAAAATATTTTTTAATATCGTTAATATATATGGTTTATATATATAGTTTTGCAAGCAAAGTATTTATATTTTCTTTCCTTTCTTTTCCACTCCAATTATAACCTCATTGGTTGTAGAGTAGTTAACTTCTCAGCTGCCAACCAAAAGTTCAATAATTCAGGCCCACCAAAAGATCTGGTAATCTTCTCCAGAAAATATATCATCCTATAAAGAACTAGGAGGTAAAAACTACATATAGACGTATAAATATAGACATATATATGTAAATATATTGATATATGAAGATAGGGGCATCAGTATATAAATTTATATGTTATAATTTTAAAGTAGCAGAAAGACTTTGGGCCTCTACTTAAGTCTTCCCTCAACACAAGAACATTTTGTTCTAATAATGTGGCACTGTGTGATACTCACCTTCCTAACAACATCACTGAAGACAAAATGGGTGCACAAGCAAATTTGATGAAGAAAGCTGATGGTGACTAGCTATTAAAGGATATAGCATCTGGGGTCTTAAAGGCTTGAAGTTAAACAAACATCCATCTAGCAGGGAAGCAACAAAGCCCACATGGAAGGAGCACATTGGCCTATGTGATCTCGAGGTGTCTAACAGGATCAGGTATTAGATGATCAAACACAAACAAATTATATCAATGTGAAGGAGAGGGGTCACAGTGGACACCCAAAGTCCATTTGTTGATAATTGGACATTCCTCACAGAAGGGATGGATGGAAGGGACAATTCATCCAGGGTGCAGTATAACACTGATGAACACACAATATTCCTCTAGTTCTTTAATGCTTCCTCCCCACCCGCCCCCATGCCCACTGTCATGTCACCAGTTCTACCTCACAAATCCTGCTAGAACAGCATATGTACATTCATACAAATAAGAGCTTTTGCCACACAGAATCCAGGAGAGGTAAACCCCCTGAGAAACAGTAATGGGAATAGTGATTCCATGAGAGTATGGGAAGGGAGGTGGGGGGAAGGGGGGAAGTGACAGCAATGATGGATGTATAACCTCCTGCAAGGGGGATGAATAACAAAAATTGAGGTGAAGGGATACATCAAGCAGTGTAAGATATGAAAAAGCAATACTATGTAATTATTAAGGGTTCATCAGGGTGATAGGGATGGGGGAGGGAGGGAATAAAAAGGAGCTGATATTAAAGGTTTCAAATAGAAAGAAAATGTTTTGAAAATGATGATGGCAACATGGGTACAAGTTCACTTGATATAATTGATTTATGGATTGTTATAACATCTCTAAGAGCCCCCAGTAAAATGATTTTAAAAAGAAAAAGATTTCAGCCTAGGAAACACTAAGCTCCAAAGTCTATAGCCTATAAAGTAAAAATGAGTGGATGCTATACAACCACAGCCTTCCAACTAGGTTGTGAGTGACAGAAATAGTTCATGCTAGATTGCTAATACAAAGGTTCACCCACCCAGTGGCACTACGGAAGAAAGGCCTGATGACTTGCTCCTGTAAAGATTATGGCCCCCAACACCCTGTGAGGAAGCTCCATGTATAACACAGCGGACCCCCAAAGCCAGGATTTGCTTGATGGCAATGGCTTTGTACTTTCATATTCTCTTACCACCCTATTCTGTTATTTATTTGTTTATTTTTGGAAGGAAAAAAATTCAAGATAATTCTTGGTTAAACTTTACTAAACTATCCTAATATATTCAAGATAAGGTTGATTTATAATTGATACCAGGAAAACAATCATATTAGTTCTATTCCATATGTATGCATCTGTCAAGACTATTTTCAGTTGACATGTTTACAATTCTGTGAAATCCACTGTGATGTACAGTTTAATAATAAAAGATTGGAAGGCTTAAGGAATTGGTACCATTTATCTCCAAGTGGTCACTTGTAGTCCTCTGCCCGATATTTCCATGTAAAAGTTATTTACAGCTGTTATATTGTATGAAAGTAATGCTCAGTTGTTGACATCCAGTTTATAACTTAAGAATTTATAATCTGTCAGGGTAGGATGAGCCAGGATTTTAATATTTCATTTACAGGTGACTTTTTGTATGTCTTGCTTAGGTACTAATTGAAAATTTATACGTACTATAAAATAGTATCTTTCTTCTTGGAACGTAGTGTTCACAATGAAGAAAATGCATTAATGTAAATTCCTAATAGACTCAAGATGTCAACAGTTATTACGTATTGCTATATATTTTTAATGAGTAAATATCAGAGAGAAGAAAATGATTGGTCGCCAGGAAGAGAACTCAACGATGGAATTAGCCATTGCATCTGAATATATTTAGAGTTGAAATTACTATCATAATCATGACTTAAGTTCTGCCCTCCAAAATCAGTAAGTAGATTCATTTCCTGGTGGGGAATGCTCGAGGGAGAATACTGTAAATTCATTGTTTGTTGCAAATTAAATTCTGATCACGCTTGTAACCACTGTGCTTTGCTATCAAACCCACAATCGGGTTTTCCCTTTGATCCAGCAGAACTCAAGTGTGTCTGCACGAACCGTTTCACTCTGTGTCTTCTCCACATCCAGGTGAGCACCAAATGCCGAGGACTCTGGTGGGAGTGTGTCACAAATGCCTTTGATGGGATTCGCACCTGCGATGAGTACGATTCTATATTTGCTGAGCACCCATGTATGTATGCTGTACACCTCTGCTACCAGGGATGGCTGTGGTGAAATGGCCCGCCAGAAAAGAAGGACATAGGAAATTCAGCTTTTACATCGTGTGTTTTTATCTTGATACAACTAGGAAAAAAGGCTACAGTTTGTTTTAAAAGCTTCAGATGGAAATGGAATTCTTTTCTGAAATGTGAATTGAAGATTTATTTTTGTTTGTTTCTTTGTTTGCTTAACATATTTTATCTTTTAACATGTATCTCTAGATTCCCTAATGGTAGAATCTTTGCTATCCCCCAAAGGGCCTGACAGTTATGCACAGTTGGCTTCTAATAAATGCTTTCTGAATTGAAAGGAATTCTTTAGGGTTCTGTGATTTTATGATTAGAACTGACAGGTTCGATGAAAAGCAGTTTAGAGATTTCTTTCATTCAGGACCTAGTTCATACAGAAAGTTTACAGCTATTTCGATGGAAAATTTGCTAAGAAAGAGCAGGCTAGAGATAGTAGTACAGAGATTAAAAAGAGAAAAAATAAAACCGACCAGGCAAATAATCCAAGAAAAACACCCAGACTGTGGGGACCAGAGCGGCCAGTGAACAGATACATATCGTCGAACCATCTCCTTCATCTTTCTTCTTTCTATCCAGCTTTAAGTTCTTTACATTTTAATAAGCTGACTCATGTTTTTATGAATAGAAATATCTTAACCAAAAAACAAGACAACACCTTCTCAATCCTGCTCCATAGTTAAAAAAAAAATTAAAGACATCCCTCCAAGAAATACCAGCCCTGTTGTGAAAGGAAAGCTGTTTTAGCTTCTTTCAAAGAAAATGATGGGTGATGGCACCACATGGCAAATTCTTTCCTCAAGATAAATGAAAAGTAAACCCTTGGAATGTGACTTTTCCCGTATTTCAATAGCACTCTTTCAGTCCATAAAAGGCACTTAAAAGGAGCAGTGCTTTGAAATAACCTCATCTTCCATTAACTAGTTGAGTGCCTGAAACTTTTTAAAACATATTTTATTTCTTCCATTTGTTAAAAAAGTTTTCCTAAGGCCGTTACATTGTACTCTTTCCCCTCTGTGCTAACCTAGCCCTACCTAGCAAGTTGTATGATTTGGTCAATAGGAATGGAAATTCATGTGGACCTTAGGCCCTTCCAAAAATTTCATAAAGATATGACTCCCACCAGCTTGAACTGGCAATAAAAACAAAACAAAGCAAAAATCCTCACTGCTATGGAGTGAATGCTGACTCATAGTGACCCCTGGTGGGTTTCTGGGACTGTAACTGTGTAGGAGAGTAGAAAGCCCGGTCTTTCTCCCGAGGAGCTGCTGGAGGTTTCAAACTGCCGCACTGTGGAGATCGCAGCCTAACGTGTGACCACAACACTACCAGACGTCCTGAATTGGCACGAGCTCTTTGAATATTTTCTAGTGCTCCTTCATATGAAATTTTAGTAATGAGTCCTGTAATAATTTCTTGAATTAAGTTTCAAATAAGTATAGTGAACATTTAGACATTTAGTGATTCAGCATTTCTGCAGAATGGTCATCTATAACACTTGTAAGATGATTTCTGGTCAGGAAAACATTTATGTAAATTCCCACTATGTCCCATGCACTCTCCTTGTATAGCAATAAGATTACATAATAATCACCCTGGTGATGCAGTGGTTTAAGCACTTGGTTGTTAATCAAAAGGTCAAGAATTTGAACTCATCCTCAGCTCCATGGGAGAAAAGATTTCTTAGTTGTATAAAAAAACTCATTCTCATGTTCACACCAATGAACGATTTGACATCTAAGAATGGGCCTGTGTTACTGTATGTGATTCTCTGTTCATACATCTCTGTGAAGGAACAGGTTCCTTTTCTCTGTCATAACCACATGCCCTGATCTTCCAGTGAAGCTGGTGGTGACGCGGGCATTGATGATTACTGCAGATATTCTAGCTGGATTTGGATTCGTCACTCTGCTTCTGGGTCTGGACTGTGTAAAATTTCTCCCTGATGAGCCCTACATCAAAATTCGCCTCTGTGTCATTGCTGGAGTTACATTACTGATAGCAGGTACTGGTTGGGACTAGAGATGGGAATACAGATACTCATTTTCGGACTGGAGGTCAAAGAGAAGGATGCTGTGCAACACAGAACTTCATTTTATGATCATATGTAGCTTGCTAATCAAGATTAAAGAAGCTACGGACACCTCTTTCCAAACGACGTTTTTCAGTTCTTAAATAGTTATGATAAGATCACAAATCAAGGCTTACTGATGTCCTGGGGTGGTAGTAAAACAGATGACTTCTGCTCTCCCTTATTTTTGCACATCCCCTTATGTATATACTAAGCTATGATTTGGAAGAGAAACAAGAAGAAGGTCAAAGAAAGAGATAAAGGGAAACTGCCCCAAATTTAGCTGCTCATGAATTCTCAGTATTGTTATTGCCATGCTGAATGATGCCAGATGCCCTTTCACTTCTTTGTCAGGTGCCCCAGGGATCATTGGCTCTGTGTGGTACGCTGTTGATGTTTATGTGGAACGTTCATCTCTGATTTTGCACAATATATTTCTTGGCATCCAATATAAATTTGGTTGGTCCTGTTGGCTTGGAATGGCTGGATCTCTGGGGTGTTTTTTGGCTGGAACTATGCTCACCTGCTGCTTATATGTCTTTAGAGGTAAGAACAAAACAAAATAGCGCACACCCATACTTACCAACACAATGGAAACACATTTCACCAGCACAGAATAATGCCACTCATTTAATCCCTACTGAGTTCCATGGAAGATAACAATTGTTCAATAATTACTGAACAACTGAATTACAAGACTTGAGCCTCATTGCTCAGTCAGTGGTAAAAAGGAAACCAAGAGCTAAAATTCTCTCGGAGATTCAAATTTATAATGATTCTTTCAATGCATTATAATCTCATATATCTACTGTTAATCTAATTTGTTAAATTTACACTTTTGAGCTAAACATAGTGGGTTGAAAATAAAGAAGATAGCTGTTTTAAAGAGTTTAATGTGTTTCTCTTGAGTTTCTAAAACCATTACCTTAAAAAAGCTAAATCAATCTGCTGTGTCATTGAAAAGAATGGAAACTTTAACCAAATTTTCAAACAAAAAGTAACTTTAATGATGAAAACTCCTGGTACTTTTAAAGTAAAATTTCCTTAGAAGATTCCTATCTTTGTCCCCATACTTCTTAAACATTTTTATTGACATATAATTCATAGATCACACAATTCACACACAATCCATCTCTTGGGTTAAAGCCTATTAAAAAAACTAGTACAATAATCACCACAGTCAATTTTGGAACATTTTCTCCATTCTTACACTCATTATTAGCCCCTCATTTCCTTTCAACTTCCTCTCCCATAACCCTAAAAATCTATTAATCCAGTTACTGTATCTATAGATTTACCTATCCTGAATTTCATATACCGAACAAACATACCCTCAAAAATTCCAAAACAATAACAAAACAAAACAGAAACAAGCATTAATAAAAGTAAAGCAGAAAATATTAAACTAGAATATATTTAAAATAGGTCAATTGTAAGGTGTTTAATTTTAATCTAAGGTATCTGAATGAATCCACTTTCCAATTCACCCTGTCATGCACATCCCGAGTCAATGGTCAGAGGGGATTTCTTGGAGGCTTAGTCCACATGGGCACCCCGCAAGTGGACTTTGGACTTTCACTGTCATCCATAGTCATCTGTAATCTGGGTGCTCAGAATTTAAGCTCTAATATAGTCCCCTTCTTTGGTCTTGGATTTAAATATGCATAATACTTGGATCACACAGGCTAATATGCTTCTCCCATGAGGACTTAGTTGATACTTCACTTACGTGACTGCTTATTTTAATACTAGCCTTTACACCTCAGACAATATCCTCTCTGATGCCTGGGCATCATTTGATTTCTTCACCATATTTTGCTGCGGTGATATCTTCATGAGGGCAAGTATTCATTGGGGCCACATAATTAAAGCTATTGTGTTTTAGACTGGCCTACAATAAGTGCAAGCTCGAAATCCATTCATGTATCTGTGGCTTATATATGTCCCTGGTTTGTTTTAAAGACATCACTATCATTTTATTGGATAATATCAAAACTAATTCCCCTATTCTTACCCCTTTCTTGAGTGAATATATAAAATGACACTATGCCCCCACCACCGCACCTTACCCCTGATTAACGGGAAATATTTGGTGCTCTAGAGCTAATTCTGATTTTAAATCATTCTGTAAGTGAGCAGACGGTCACATTTTTGTCTCACAGAGTGGATGCGAGATGGAATTGCTGACCTTTTGGTTAGCAAGGGGGCAGTGGAGCATGAGGCCACCAAAGAACATTCTTACTGAACTATGTTTACTCTTGCACTAACTTCTTTCAGATGTCGAACCCAAGAGGAACTACCCTTACTCCATGAGGGAGGCTTATTCAACTGCGGCTGTTTCCATGGCCAAGTCATCCATAGCACCTCGGACAGAGACTGCCAAAATGTATGCTGTGGACACACGGGTATAAAGTACCGTGTACCAGCCTGTGTTTATGCACTGCTTAATGAATCAATCAATATATTCAAGTTAATAAACTAGCATAAATTCAGGACCAACTGTCATTTAGACTCTCTGTTTAATTAAATCCGTTTCTCAACTTAGTCAAAAGTCCATTTCTCATTACTTTTTTCTATTATTATCATATTTTTCCTCATTTTCTTTCTTTTTACACACCCAGTTTCTCCATCTCTCTCTCTCTCAGACACACATACATTTTAAAGATAAGATAAGATAAGATGGCTAGGCATTTGAAATGTTCATTTGTGATTTGTATGTTGCTGTTAGAAATTGTGACATGGTGATATTTTAAAATGAGACATTAATAAGAGAAAACGATTTTCAAAAGAAATGATCCTCTTAGTTTTTTCCCCAGCTTTGATTTACTTTTGTATTCTCAATTGAGAGAAATATTTAATAAATTTAAAGAAAATGATTCTAACATAATTAAACTACTATATGAAGTGTCTGCCATTGCTCTGATTTTGTTAAAACGGTAAAAGAAAATTCCAAGTTCATGTACTGACCATCAGTGGACATTGAAGACCAGAAACTGCTGTTCCCCTGTGATACACACACGCGCGCACGCACACACACACACACTAATTGCCAAAGGGAAAAGTTAAATTAATTTGGGAATCGATGGTGACTTTCTACCTCATTAACAACATACAGGATCTATGTACTATTTCACCACTGCTCTGCTTTTGTGTACATATTGGCAAATTATTACAATACAGTTGCAATAGCTAAATCAGGAAGTTGAATCATTTGTTGATTGAACATCCAAATATGTTTCAGGACTGACTAATATAAGAATTCACCACTTTAAATTACTACCGCTCATGATTCTTAGAAACCTCCAAAACAGCTGACATATGATATGTTTTCAGCAAATGCTTGTCAGATTAAAGAAATAAGTCTTCACAACTCTACTCAAAAAAATTATACATAAGAGAATGCGATTATATACACATTTAAGGAGGTCAATGTATTATTGCTAATTGGATTCCATTCATACTGAGAATGCAATAATTTTCCATTTAAAAATGGTGAAAATTTTAAATCTTTATTAGTTTCAATCTGAAGCTTTTCTTATTCCTTATAATTCACATGAATAAAATTAATGCCGTACGTTATAAAGAATATCAGCTGAACTGGAAATTCATTCTTTGGAGAACTGGAAATGAAATTGTAAATTACTGAAGACCTCAAAAGGAGTGTTTACAATATAAAAGGTCACTAATAATGTGAAAATAAGATGATGAAACCCTAATACTTTTACAAATGTTGTTGAAGATGCTGTTCATTACTGCACGAAGTATCTGAACTCTTTGCTAGTATTCTCAAGAGCAATTTTAATCTGATCTTTGTTTTTGTTTTTTTTTTTAATCTGATCTTTGTATCAAAAGCAGTTGATAAGATTTTAGCACTGATATCATTAACTGTCAAACATTTTTGTAGGTCATGTGTAAGGCCATTGTGGTTGTTATTTGCTGTTGAGTCAAATCTGACTCATGGAAACCTTATGTGTTGCAGAGTTGGACTACTCCATAGGTATTGTTGCCGGTTATCATAACACAAGCAGATTGTCAGTCCTGTTTCCTTGGTATCAGTGGATTGCTCACTTCAAACTAACAATATTTAGCTGACCAGCTGAGCAAAACTGTGTTATCTAGGGGCTGTGCTCTAGTTATGTAGGTGTTATTCTATGTACTTAATAATTTTGTTTTTGTGTTCTACATTTCCCCCCTCAACTTTGGTTATTTAAAAATTTTTAGTTGTACTATCTCTTTACCTTAAAAATTATATTGTCATATTTTAAGACCCATAATTTTATGGGGAAAGACAAGGTAAGATTAAATCATCTACAAACTTGTATGATAAGATATCAATTAATCCTTTCTAAAACTTAATTTGTATGAAGAAGTATTTCAGATGATTGTTGATATAATTGAAATGTATGACAGTTGGAATTTTTTGTCAATTAAAATATTTTGAATATTCCAAGAGAAATCTAATTTGTTTGCTTCTTTACCTCACAAAATTTAGTGATAATACTTTTGATTTTTATAATATACTTATAATTATTTCATTTTATGAAGCATTCCAAAATAAAACAAAAAACTTTATGTGCACAGCAACTAGTGAATAAACACACCTTATTGGTGAAGGAGCCATTAACATGATGGTGATTCAACAGACCAAGAATAAAATACAACTATTTCATTGTATAAAGAACACACACATGAGACTATTATTAAGCTGAAACATGAAAATAGCCAACTAAATTTTGGGTATTATAATTTAGTTATGTCATGGTAACAATAATAAAATTTAGTATTTTATTTACCTTTCTCTGTATTATTATTATTTTTTAAGATCATTTTATGGGTGCTCTTACAGCTCTTATAACAATCCATACATTAACTGTATCAAGCACATTTGTACATAAGTTACCATCATTATTTTCTAAACATTTACTTTCTATTTGAGTCCTTGGTATCAGTTCTTCTTTTTTCCCTGCCTCCCCCCGTACCTTCTTGTGATCCCTTCAAAAATTATAAATTATTTTTATATTTTACGCCAAACTTTGTCTTTATAACTAGTTATTTTATAATATAAAATTGTAAGTAAAAGTATCCTTATAAATATTGTATATGTGTATTGTAGAAAGTTACAAAACATAAAAAATTCATATTATGTATGTTATTTAACCATCAGAGCATCATATTTCCCTCTCCACCTAGAACATTACTATTCTTTTTTTTATGACAAAGTTTCATATTTTTGTAATTAGAAATAAACATTTCACAAAATATAATTACATATTGCTTTGTGATTAATCACTGTTTTAATTATGTTCAATAATTATGTTCAATTATGTTCAATTTCTAACAGTGAAAATACATCCTGAATTTCAGATATACATATTTTAAATCATTTTATTGGGGGCTCGTACAACTCTTATCACAATCCATACTTACATTCACTGTGTGAAGCATTGTTGCCATCATCATTCTCAAAACATTTGCTTTCTACTTGAGCCCTTGGTATCAGATACTCATTGTTTCCCTTCCCTCCCTGCTCTCCACTGCCTCATGAACCCATGATTATTTACAAATTATTAGTATATTGTCATATCTTATATTGTCCTATGCCTCCCTTCACCCACTTTTCTGTTGTCCAACCCCCAGGGAGGAGGTTATATGTAGATCCTTGTAATTGGTTCCCCCTCTCTACCCACGCTCCCTTCACCTTCCTGGTATCGCCACTCACAGCACTGGTCCTGAAGAGCTCATCTGTCCCGGATACCCTGTGTTTCCAGTTCCTATCTGTACCAGTGTACAACCTCTGGTCTAGCTGGATTTGTAAGGTAGAATTGGAATCATGATAGTGGGTGCGTGAGGTGGAGGAAGTATTTAGGAACTAGAGCAAAGTTGCATCTCATCGTTGCTACACTGCACCCTGACTGACTCGTTTCCTCCCCGCGACCCTTTTGTAAGGGGATGTCCAGTTGCCTACAGATGGGTCTTGGGTCCTCAATCTGCACTCCCCCTCATTCACAATGATTTGATTTTTTGTTCTTTGATGCCTGATACCTGATCCCTTCGGCACCTCATGATCACACAGGCTGGTGTGCTTCTTCCATGTGAGCTTTGTTGCTTCTCAACTCCATGGACACTTGTTTACCTTCAAGTATTTAAGGCCCAAGATGCTATATCTTTTGATAGCCAGGATCCATCAACTTTCTTCACTACTTTTGCTTATGCACACACTTTGTCTTCAGCAATCATGTTGGGAAGGTAAACATCATGGAATGCCAGTTTAATAGAACAAAGTATTCTTGCATTGAGGGAGTGTTTGAATGGAGGCCCAATGTCCATCTGCTACCTTAATACTGAACTTATAAATATATGTACATAGACCTATTTCCCCATCCTCATATATAAATATATTGACACATGTATATGCCTTTATTTAGATCTTGAGGTTGTTAATTTATTGTGCCAACCTGGCCGATAAACACATGTGGGGTTAATTGAAGGGCGGAGGGATAAATGGTTCAGTGAGCCTCGCCTTTCTAGTTCTCAGATCACTTGCTTTCTGACGGGTCAGACCAGGGAGCAGCTGCCTTAGCCAGTTCCCTGCTGTCAAGGCTCACTTCCTGCAAAACACCACCGAGGAGAGGCCACATGGACCTACCCTGATGCAGCCCTGGGTGCTGGAGCAGCCATGTGGAGCTGCCAGCTTAGATGCTTGCACATACACTGACTCGGCTTTCCTCCTGCAGTCAGCATCAATGCATCTGTTTTGTGAGATGGAGAAGGACTTTGTGGATTGGTGTCGGACATACGGATTAATGGTTTAATGTTGGACTTGTGGGCTTGGGCAGCACTGGGTTGGGATGTTCTCTTGATGCACACTTAACCTTTATATAAAACTCTCCCTTCTACATGAGTTTCTGTGGATTTGTTTCTTTAAAGTTCCCAGGCTTACACAGACCTCTGTAAATGCCCTTTGCCTCCTAGTTCTTTGATCTATTTTCTTTCACTTTCCTCTTGTCCCACTATCATGGTCAGCCTTCATTTTGGTTTCAGTGATTCCTCTTGGTTACATTACCCTTGATCAAGCCCTACCAGGCCTCCTACACCCTCCTTGCCACCGATTTTGGATCACTTGTTCCCTTGTCACTGGGTTTGTTAACACCACTTCCTTTCCCCCACTTCTCCCTTCCCCATGTCTCCCTGGAACCTTTGCTCATGTTGTTTTTTCCTCCAGATTGTTTAGCCAGCCTATCTTATCTAGATAGACCTGTGGAAATAATAACGAACAAAAACAAAACAGAACAAAAGAAAAAACATCAACAACAACAAAAAAGAAAAAGGAAAAGTCTGTAGATAGTTCAAGGACTGTTTGTTGGTCTTTAGGAGTGTTTTCCAGTTAACACTGATGGGGTGGCAAGCCCTGGTCCCAACATCTACTTTTTTTGTATTCCCTCGGGACTTCATTGCTCTGTTCCCCTTGCTGTTCTGTTGCACGCCCTTAGTGTTTTGCTTTGGTGTGGTTGTATCAGATCGGGTGCAATTCCCACACTGTGTCTCCAGTGCTGGCCCCTGTAGGACTATGGGTCAGTGATGGATGTCGTGTCTCATAGTGGGGCCCGACATATGGTCTTCTCTGTGGATTGGCTGCTCTGAGTGGGGATATGGTCCTCCAGGCCTGGTGGGCCAGGTTGTGCTCCACTCTCTCTTCCTCCCCCCTCATGTGCTCCCGTGTGCTCTGATGAGACATGTCCCTCTCCCTGAGCTGCATCTTCAGTGTTGTCCTATGAAGTGAATGTTTCTGGGGGGATATGTTGCCCCTGTATTTTACCAAACATGAGGTCCTTTTCTATGGGCTGCTCTCTCCTGACAACATTTCCAAAGCAGATGAGATGAGGTTTACTCGGAGTAGTTTGTTC